TTAGAAATTTCTAGTAAGATAATTGAGAATAAAGATGCAAGAATTGGTGAATTAGAATGAGAACTAAAACAAGAAAGAGAAAAAGTAGAGGTGTCTAATAAGATAATTTCAGAAAAAGAATCACAAAACAAAAATCCCACAGAAGAAAATAAAGGATTGCAAAATAAATTGCATTTAGCTGAAAAGGATTTACCTGCTTTACCTAAAAAACAAAGCAAATTTAGATGATTAAGAACAAAATTTAAAACTGAATCCCATCAATTGGTGGAAAATGAAAAACACCAAATCCAAGAGTTAGTTGCTAAAATAGAGATAAATAGATAATTAATGGGAGAATTAACTTACACACTTTTAGATTTAGAAAGGTCAAGTCAGAAAACATGTGATTTTTGTTCTAATTGTTATGGAGAGGATAATAAATCTGTTAACCAAATAGTAACTCATGTTAAGGTAAATGGTAAATATGTTGCAGATGATGTAGTGTGTGAAAGTTGTAAGGAGAAATTCAAGAATGATGAATTGGAAAAATGTGAGAGATGTGGTAAATTACAAACTAAACATTATATTGATGTTCATGGTGATAAATTTGTTTGTTTTTGTATTAGATATGAAGAAGACATGGAAGAAAAGGAACTCCCACTTTTGCCTAGTGAGGAAATAAGTCAGTCTGCTTTTTATGAAAGACAAATAAATGGATTACAAGAAGAATTAGCCACTGCTGAAGAAGCATTAGAAATTGAAAGAGAGGAAATAGCCAAGTTTCAAGAAAAGTCTGAGGAATGAAACAAAAGACAGAAACAGGAATTATTAGATAAGATTAAACAACAAGAAACAGAAATTATTAAATTGACTCAGAAAATTGAACAATTGAAAACTTTAACCCCTCAAGAGTTAGTCAATAAGTTAAATGCTTATGAGACAGAGAATGAGAAATTAAAGAACCAGTTAGAACAATTACAACAGAATGGTCAATTAACTGCACAAATTGAAATTAAAGAAACTAAGAAATGTCCTTTATTGAAAATAAGAAAGTAATTTTTGGTTATTTCCCTCTGTATAATTTCAACTATCAAAGAAAATGATAGTTATTTTCTTTCTAAGGATTTTTGCTTTTTATTAGGTAATAGTACATGTGTGACTTTTTTGAAAATTTCTTGAAAAATTTTAATTTGACTTTTAAACATCAATAACAATCGGTCCAATGTGATATTTTAGAATGTTATGGGAATCATTTCAACAAACTAATTCACAACATCAATTTGCTTAGTAAAAAATGAGTATTTGTATTACCTGTTTATTCGAGTCAATACTTTTTTTAGGGGCGTGTATGTAGTTGCCTCAAGTTAAAATATTTCGATTTTGGGGTTTTAATTTTGACTTCATGTATAGCCTGATTTTCTCACCAGTTGTAATCCCCCATATATCAGTCACAGGATATGTCCTGCATATCAATAGGGAGTTGTAAAACAGTAAATTATTGTTGAATTTTACTATAATGCAGATCATCATAGTAAAATTTTACAATCAAATGTCTTCTAATCCCCATTTAATGCCCTTGCTGTGTAGCAACCACCACCAAATTTGAGATATAACTTCTTTATCATATGTATCTATTTTAAGAAAAATTTTAAAGCAAGTTGCTAATAAAACTGAAAATAATCTGACCCTCATAGTCAAATTTTGCCTTTATATTCATATATGTAAAATTTTGTTTGACACATCCAATTGCAAGTATAAGTAGAAATAAATGTCCAAATATTGAAAAAGATGTATGGTTTGTGGTAAATATTTTCCAACATTACTCTACATTATAAATCTGAACATCCTGGGAAAAGAAAAGGCAAAAGCAATAATGTAGGTTTAATTTCTAATTCATCAATAATAGATTATAGTGAACTTCCTTCTTTACAAGAAAGACTAATAAATAAATATTGAAAATAATTATTTTTCAGATACCAAACATTAAAAATATAAAATTTTCTATTTTTGATTGTGTCACATCAGCTTTTTATAAGCCAAGACCCCCACCCCCAAAAAATTACATCATATCTGCCATGTCTAGGTAAAATGTATGGTGAATTTTAGAATTTATTTAGTACTTTTAATTAGCATTTAATGAGATTTAATTTAACATAAATAAATTTGCAATATGGCATTTATTAAAGCTCCAAACAGTTAGTTTTTCAGTTTTTCGGTTTACATTTGACCCAAAAATTTCAGACATTCTAAATTTGTTAACTACACAAAAATATACATAATAACTTCAAAAAAATTATAATAACTTGTAGCTTAGTTTAACGGATGTGTTACAAAGTAGAGATGCTGGAAGAGCCCTGTTTCTAAATACATACATAATCTATAATTTTTATACCATAGTAACAATGGTATGGAGATCATGATTGAATTTTATACATAATGCCATGTTTAGATACAGCTGGTCAGTTATAAGTCAGGTCGTTACATATTCATAGATTCACCACAAAAATTTGTAGGTTTAGAGTCCCTATTGTAATACAAATTCTTGTTCGAATTATTTGTTTATTCACTTTATTCATTCTATTCAAATTATTCATTCTATTTGCTTTATCCACTTTACTTGAATCACTCATTTTATTTGTTTCATTCATTTTATTCAAATTATTCATTTTATTTGTTTTATTTGTTTCCATTCATTTTGTTCATTTCATTCAAATAGAAATCTTAAGGATGTTCTATTTTTTCAATTCATATATAAAATTCATTGTCTCTGCAAACTTTTAAACTCTTATTGTTTCAGGTTCTAAAATACAACACCTTTGAGTAATTAAGTCTGTGCCTCCAGAAAAAATTTGTTCACTGGTTGTTATTAGATTAGAAATTAGTGGGTTTGGTTCTAAATAAGCAGAGTGCAAAAATTAGAATACAGTCAAACCTTGTCACAGCAGATTGATGGTACCAGCCAAAAAAATCTGCTGTGGCAAAAATTGATGATTGGCAAAATTTTTTTAATAATTTAAAAAATGAATACATGCGGAAATTAAAATTATTTGTTGTAATATGGGGCATGCTGCAACAAAACCAGACAAAGTGAACATTGGTATTACCAAGAATTTCAGGGATCAAAATTTAGTCATTTGCAATGTGATTATAATTATCAGTTTTAATAATATCCCATTTGTTATCTTAAGTGATATATAGAATTACCTCTATATAAAAATAGTTAATATGAAACTAATTTATATCAGATCTACAATGGAACCCAAGAATTACAGCACCATTAGAAGTATTTTGAAGAAAGAATGAGGTGAAAAAATTGCTTATTTAGATAAAGAAAGGTTTTTGAAAGGTTTAGTGAACATTGATTATTTAGTCTTTGTCCATTTTTGTTAGGAAACAGACCTAACTACTGGGAAATCATCTTAGAATTCTAAATGTTCATTTAAAATTAATGAGCCTATTGGATGACTATTAATAATATGAACTCCAAGACTATGGAACTATGATTTAGTCATCAGGTGATTTAAACTGTGAAAAGGAAAGGGCACAGTTTACCTGTTGACAGTATAAAAATATAATCTAATACATTTTAAATACCTTTATTAAGTAAAATGTTAAAATGAGTTATTTGCTAATTCTTTCTATAGTATCTAAATAAATTTTATAGCTATTGAAAAGATAATAACTGTTTCTCACTACCAGACCAATACAAGGAATTAAAATTTAATATTACCAATATGATTATGATTTAACAATTTGTAATATTCCATTTGCTATCTTTCATTTTCAATATTAATTAATGTGAATTTTAATTTTACATCCGCAAACAAGCTCTTAGTTGTCAAGGCAGTGACAGCTGCCATCAGCTACACATGGACACCTTCCATTTGCAATATTTATGGCTGATTGAAGATCACCTTGTCTTATCGTGCTACGTCCAATATGTGAATTTACGTTTTCAAATAATGAAATTAAATAATTTTCAGAAGCTTGGTGAAGATTATCTATGGCAGAAGTGTGGAACTTTAAATCTGGCCAAAGCTCACTTGTGATTTGATTGAGCTCCCTTCTGAATTGTGGCTTTGGGACCAGAAATTTGTATCCAATTTCAACTTCTGTATCATTATTATTGATATTACTATTTTCTTCATTGTTATTGTCATCATCATCAGAGTCATCAAGAGTGTTGTTGTCAAAATCACCATGTAAATCATTATTAATATTAGTTGTAGCCATTCCAGCATTACTTGTTTGATTCATGGTGGTAGTAGTTGAATTATTATCATTATTATGATTTGTATTACTACCATTACCATTACTATTACTACTATGATTGTTATTCGTGTTTAAGATCATTGAACTAATGTCAAGAGTGTTGTTGTCAAAATTGCCATATAAATCATCAATAAATTGATTATCACTTGCAATGGGATTTATTAACTGATTATTAGTGTTAGTTGTAGCCATTCCAGCATTAATTTGATATTCGACACCACCATCCTATAATGTAATTTAAATTTTTAGTTTCTATTAAATAAAAAACAAAATGGAAATAAGATATATTTATTTATTTGTTTGATGAATACTATTTTTTTTTTCCATAGTATTTAGCTCGTTTTTTAGAGTGTTAATGACATCATCATCTTGATCAAAAATGTTTATTAAAACGGATATGTTGCAGTCCTTCATTTTTTTAGAAATTCTGTCCAGAATGTTGATGAAGTCATCCTGGACAAAATAATTTAGATATATTTAATTCAAATTTTTTTTTTAAAGATTGAAGCTTGTACATTTTTAAACTTACAACATCTGCAACAACATCATGATTTGGATTTCTGACAATATAACATAAATTTGACAAATTCTCTTAGTAAACTATTTAATAACTAGAGTAACGACAAGTGCGGGCAATAACCACCACCACCATCCTTAAAACACTTACCCACATATTTTTTCGGCCTCGGTTTCTCTGCTTCTTTTTTTATTAGGTCTAGATGACGCGAATTGATTTTTTTTTTTTTTTTTTTTTGGAAAAACAATTTATTTTTTGACAGAGTCCAAGGTGACAAAACGTGAGT